GGTGATATGTAGGGTGTGGTGATGTTGATGGTGATGTGTTTGCGGTGATGTTGATGGTGATGGCGTGTGTGCGGTAATGTTGATGGTGATGTGTGTATGGTGCGGTGATGTTGATGGTGATGTGTGTGCGGTGATGTTGATGATGATGGCGTGTGTGCGATGCGTCCCATTGGGGGTCAGTGGCTACGCGCATGGATAAGGATCACGAAAGCTGAGAAAATGGAACAACATCTGCAGAAGAAGAACAACAACAAGGAGCAGAAGCAGAAGACACAGAAATCCCAGCGAGGTGTGGAGGAGAGACGGGCAGAGGAGCAGGCGGACTCGAGGGACGCCGTAACGGGTGACCGGGAGGTCAAGACCGGTGACGGAATCGCAGCTAGAGGATCGGTGGGGATCGGGGGGGGGGGGGGGAGTGAGCTTTGGGGGGAGAGAGGAGTGGGTGTGGGGAGGGCCTTCATCCAGAAGTGGATAGGTCGTGGCTAATTACTATTGGGACATCTGTCGGGGGAAAAAAAAAAGTTTAAATACTTATCGGATTACGACGTTTCGATCGCAACAACACGCGACCGTCTTCAGGTGAGAGAATCAGACTGCTGTGGACGAGGCGTTGTATATTGACCCGAGGGGGTGGGGGAGGGAGGTTGCCGCATCGGGCAAGAGGGTGGGGCCCCACAGCAGTCTGATTCTTTCACCTGAAGACGGTCGCTTGTGTTGCGATCGAAACGTCGTGATCTATTAACTTTTCGACCGTAAGAGCATGGATTCCTGCAGTCACGAAAGCTTCAAATCAAGATACTTATGGGATTTTTCTCGTCTCGATTGAGATTCTGGTACAGATTCTGATTCTGAGTTAGCCGATGGCGCGTGATCCATGTGTGTGTGTGTGTGCGTTGGGTCACGTGGTTGTTCTGTTACAAACGTCGTTTCGTTAACCCTCCACCGCTCCGACAGGATTGTCCAGTACCGGATTAAGTTAGTGCGGGGCCTGTAGCATATGTTGTTATAAAGGGGCTCTAAATAAAAAAAAACATCAATATTAAAAATTTGTTTAACTTTGCATAGTAAAGTAATTGTATTTTTTCATTTGCTATACAGCCAGATAATACGACAAATCGCTAACCTTAAACACACAGTAGTTCGTAAAAGTTGAAGGCGGTGTAGTACTAGAGTAATAGAGCAAGTGCAGAATCACTGAACAGGAATTGATAGCTTTAAAGCATTTAGCGCGGGGCTCTTGAGAGTGCAGGGCCCGTAGCTACTACATATGTAGCTACTACACGTGTAGCTACTACACAAGTGGCTACACATGCAGCTACTTGCGCTACTCGGATAATCCGGCACTGGGATTGTTACGTGAACACCGATCCAGCTCCGCCTCGCTCCGTGGCCCGAGTCTTCCCACTGTGCAGTGGTTTGGCGCTCATAATGGTGGCGGTGGTGGTGAAGATAGCCATATAAGGTCTTTACGGTGGTGGTGGTGATAATGGTGATGATGATGATGGTTTTGGTGGTGACGGTGGCAGCCGAGATCTCACTGGGAATCAGTCGAGCGGCATTTTATTTTAATCAGCTGTGTAACGCTGTGTTGGGAGCTACTTGGCCTGCATGAACCATCACGCGAACTCCGGTGGTTATCCTCTCAACAGCAGCGGCGGCTTTTGGCTGCTGGCCATCGAACACAGACGGCGGTCACCGCATCGCGTGGCGCTTTCGGATGCGCTTCTGTGGCCGTCTGGAACGCTCTTCCTTCCGATATTAGGAAGCCACTGGAGCGATGCACTTTTAACTCATCCAGATTGAAAACTAATTTCTTTAGAATTGCTTTTTGTGTGTTGCCATTTTGTCCTTCCCCCGCACCTCCGATTAGCACGGCTACGTACGGTGCGAAAGAAGTTCAACACATACACACTTCGATTTAAAGCGTTCGTGACTGCAGGGAATCATCTTATTTGGTTCTTTCGTTAGAGTCACGTAGAATGAGAATAAAATAATAAAATAAAAATAGGATAATTTTATTGTCTTATTTTAATTTTATTATTTTATTCTCATTCTACGTGACTTTACCGAAAGAACCAAAGAAGACATATACATACTGTTGTTCTGTAGAAAGCATCGGATCTTCTCTATGCTTCGGATACGCGGACCCACTCTCATGGAACATCTGTGCCTGTTCGAAACAGTCAGGCTGGCATGCCTACGATCGATCATGGGTTTAAGAAGAATGGATTGTGTGAGCTCACATATCCTTGAAAGGTCTGGACACCGCCCCATCAATGAGCTCCTCTGGCAGGCGAGACTGCGTTGGTTGGGGCATGTAGCTCGAATGCCCAGCCACCGCATTCCCAAGCAGCTTCTGCTTGGCCGCATAGAGGGGGCTAAACGGGCACGACATGGGCTGGAGAAGAGATGGAGTGATGTGGTGCAAGAGAGCGTGGAGCTGAGTGGACTTACCGATGACTGGTACCAGCGGTGTCAAGATTGGCCTCTGCGGAGGAGGCTCGTGAAGGACGCTGCTCCTGGGTAGTTGGAGGCAGTCGACCTCCAACAACAAAGGAGGGCAGAGGAGCGACGCTCACAACAACGAGCGGAGCGCCGGGCGGCTAAAATGCAGCGAATTGGCGTAGTGGGGAACCCAGGTGGTGCATCTGCCAGTCATGTCAGGCAGTGAACCCGTGGCAATTGGGTCTGCCCCGTGACCTCCTGCCAGCGGGCGTTCGACACTTCACGTGGCCTCAACGTGCACATAGCCTGGCACAGGCGCCGTGGTGACGTCACCGTCACTTTGTGAGGAATGGCGGTTGTTGTTGTTGATGGTGAAGTTGTTTATAAAAGCTTCCCGGAGGCTCAGGGGTAGAGCGAGCGGCTCGCAATCAGAAGAGCGCGAGTTAAAATCCTGGTTGGGGGGAGGGGTTAACTCAGCCCATCATCATCACTCCGGGGTCGATAAAGTAGGTACCACTTTGTGGGGAAGTTCAACAGCGGTTGTCCAACAGGAATGTGTCATTTCCACGACTGCATAGTTGCCCGTGTGCGTGTGATGAGACTATCACCGTGATTTAGTTTAAGGTAGTTCAATGTTGATGATGATGGTGGTGATCATAATGAGTCGATGATGATGATGACACTGATGATATGTCTATATAGTACTGTACATGGGGGGGGGGGGGGTGATGATGAACGTAATACAGAATGCACGAATCGAGTGTCTACCGTATGATGACGATGGCGGTGATGATGTCAGCGATATGCATGCTGCATTGCGGTGATGTGATGCGTGGGAGGGTGGTGGTGATGGTCACGATGGTGGGTGTCGGCTCTGCCGGGCGGGGTGGTGATGGTGGTGATGGGTGGGGTTCTGGTGATGGTGATAACGGGAGGGGAGGGGTTCTGATGATGTGTGGGTAGTGATGGGTCATGTTGCTGGTGAAGATGATGAGTGGATGGCGATGTGTGAGTGGTGGGTGGGTGGGCGGTAATGGGTGGGTGGTGATGGGTAGGTCGTGATGTGGGTGGTGATGTGTGGGTGGTGATGGGTGGTGGTGGTGGTGGTGGTGATGAGTGGGTGGCGATGTGTGAGTGGTGGGTGGGTGCTAATGGGTAAGTATTAGGTTGGTAGATGGTGATGTGTGGGTGGTGATGTGTGAGTGGTGATGGAGTGATGTGGTACAGGAGGATGTGGAGTTGAGTGGATTTGCCGATGACTGCTACCAACGGCGTCAAGATCGTAAAGGACGCTACTGGGCAGTTGGAGGCAGTCGCCCTCCAACAACAACGGAGGGCGGAGGAGCGACGCTCACAACAATGAGCGGAGCGCCGGGTGGCTAAAGCACAGCAAGTTGGCACAGTAGGGAGCACAGGTGGTGCATCAGCCAGTCATCTCAGTCAGTCGACCCGTGGCACCTGCTGGGTCTGCCCCGTGACCTCCTGCCAGCGGGCGTTCGACACTTCACGTGGCCTCAACGTGCACCTAGCCTGGCGCAAGCGTCGTGGTGACGTCACCACCACTTAGTGTCGAATGGCGGTTGTTGTTGTTGTGATGGGCAGGTATTGGGTGGATGGTGGATGGGTGGTGATGAGTAGGTATTGGGTGGGTAGGTAGTGATGTGTGGGTGGTGGTGATGATGGGTGGGTAGGTGATGTGTGGGTGGTGGTGATGATGGGTGGGTAGGTGATGTGTGGGTGGTGGTGATGATGTGTGGGTGGTGATGTGTGGGTGGTGGTGATGATGGGGTGGGTAGGTGATGGCTGGTGGTTGGGTTGGCGGTGATGTGCGGGTAGGCGGTGATGATGGTGGCGGGTGGTGGTGCGTACGTGAGTGGGTGGGTGGTTGTAGTCGGTGGCTAGTGGGTGGTGGCGAGTGGGTGGGTGGCTAGTGGGTGGGTGGCTAGTGGGTGGGTGGATAGTGAGTGGGTGGGTGGCTAGTGGGTGGTAGCGAGTGAGTGGGTGGCTAGTGGGTATGTGGGTGGGTGGCTAGTGGGTGGTAGCGAGTGAGTGGGTGGTTAGTGGGTGGGTGGCTAGTGGGTGGCTAGTGAGTGGCCGGGTGGCTAGTGGGTGGTAGCGAGTGGGTGGGTGGCTAGTGGGTGGGTGGTAGCGAGTGGGTGGTAGCCAGTGAGTGGGTGGGTGGCGAGTGAGTGGGTGGGTGGCAGTGAGTGGGTGGGTGGTTAGTGGGTGGGTGGGTGGCGAGTGAGTGGGTGGGTGGTAGCCAGTGGGTGGGTGGGTGGCTAGTGGGTGGGTGGTTAGTGGGTGGGTGGCTAGTGGGTGGGTGGTTAGTGGGTGGGTGGCTAGTGGGTGGCTAGTGGGTGGGTGGCTAGTGGGTGGGTGGGTGAGTGGCTAGTGGGTGGGTGGCTAGTGGGTGGGTGGTTAGTGGGTGGCTAGTGGGTGGGTGGGTGGCTAGTGGGTGGGTGGCTAGTGGGTGGGTGGCTAGTGGGTGGGTGGCTAGTGGGTGGGTGGGTGGGTCCGCTCACATATTTAAGCCCGGGGCTCGCTCTGGGCCGTCTCACTCGACAGTCGCTGGCGGCTTGGGGCGCCTCCTCCGCCGCCCGCCGACGGAGCGGCGGTGCGCCTCGCTTAGGGTCGCTACGGTAACGCGACCCACCTTGATACGCGATGTCGAACAACAACAATAACAACAATAACGCTGTTGTCTTTGTGTGTGCGATGTTAGATCATTCGTAAGCGATCAAAATGTCTGGTCTAAGTTGTTTGGTACAATAATGCGGTGCGTATATGGCTGTGTGTACGTGTTTTGTGTGTGCATGTGTGTATATACGTTTGTGTATGTGTGTATATTTGTGTATGTGTGTCTGTGTGTGTATAGATGTGTGTATATATGTGTGCGTCTGTGGATATAGGTGCTCGCTAACAGCACTTGCCCCAACAGTCTGTTAAGGCTATACGGGGGATTGTTGTCTTTGTAGGTCAACTCAGCCCCCTAAATGAGTACCTGGTGCGGTTACTGGGGAGACAAAGGCGGCCGGGCGTGGTGCTGGCCACCCACCCCCTCGTGTGCCGTTCCGGCCTTCAGAGGTGCTACTCGCTAACAGCACTTGCCCCGACAGTCTGTTACAGGCTATACGGGGGATCTTTGTCTTTTTTTGTGTTCGTGAATGTTACGTGTGTGTATGTGTATATGTGTGTGTGTATGTGTGTGTTTGTGTGTATGTCTATATGTATTTTTATATGCATGTGTGTATATGCGCGTATGTGTGTATGTTTGTATATATGAACCTGTATGTGTGTGTATATGTGTGTGTATATATGTGTGTATGTCTATATGTATTTTTCTATGCCTGTTTATATGTTTGTATATATGAACCTGTATGTGTGTGTGTGTTCATGCGTATGCGCGATTGCGTATTGTGTGTTTGGGAACGTGTGTGCCTTTTTGTTTGTGTGTATATTTGCGTATGTGTGTTTGTGTATCCCCTAGGTCGACTCAGCCTCAGATGAGTATCTGGTACGATGTGTAAACAGCACTTGTCACAACAATCTGTTGTGGCTACACGAGGCATTTTGGAAGTGTGTTTGTGTGTGTCTTTATGTGTCTGTCTGTGTATGTGTGTTTGTGTATGTATGTTGTATGTAATGTAGGTTTGTGTACGTGTGTTTGTGTGTGTCTGTGTATGCGTGTTTGTGTACGTGTGTTTGTGTGTGTCTGTGTATGCGTGTTTGTGTACGTGTTTATGTGTGTCTGTATGTTTGTGTATATATGTTGTATGTGTGTTTGTGTACGTGTGTTTGTGTGTGTTTCTGTGTATGTGTGTATGTGTACGTGTGTCTGTGTGTGTCTGTGTATGTGCATTTGTGTACGTGTGTTTGTGTGTGTCTGTGTGTGTATGTGTGTTTGTATGTTTGTGTACGTGTGTCTGTGTGTTTGTGTATGTAGCTTGTATGTATGTGTGTGTCTGTGTGTATGTTTCTGTGCGCGTCTGTGTATATGTGTACGTCTTTGTATATGTATGTGTTTGTGAGTTGGGGGGAGCGATAGTGTAGCGGTTAGCGCTACGCTGCGCTACGAATTCGATTCGCGCTCACGGGCAACACCGGTAACGATTACCTGAACCGGTCCTGGGCCTCACCAAGGTCGACTCAGCCTCAAATGAGCAAGCACCTCATGCGAATGGTAAACATCAGAGAGAAAGGCGGAGTCCGGTCGTGGTGCTGGTCACTCAAACACCTCGTGTGCCGTGCCGGCCTTCACAGGTGCTACCCGCTAACAGCACTTGCCCCAAAAGTAACATACTTTTGGGGCAAGTGCTGTTAAGGCTACACGGGGCATCTTTACCTTCGTCGTCTGAGGACCGGACAGGAGTTAAGACAGATTTTCGCGGTTGACTTAGTGGCTAATCTGGGTTAAGGGGGCGCGCATATTAGCAGACTTGCGGTAATGCGCCTCGGGGACATTCTTGTCTCACGTGGACCAGGTGTGGATTGTCGCAGAGGCTCGCGGTTCGATTCTCGGCGGCCGCCCTGGCCACTACTGCGCAGGGCTCCGACTGCGTCGCTGTGGACGTTAAAGGTCCCCGTGACGGCGTTCGAAACATAGTCGATGGCCATTGTGTGCCGACATCACGGCATCAAGGGGCGCCACGGTGGCTAGGAGATGTCAACTACTTCGCCAGATATACAGGAGGTCGTGGGTTCGATTTGACCGTGACACATGCTGTATATTGTTAGCAGTAGCAAAATACGCGTGCCAACAAGGACTCTGAAATGATTTTGATAATGTTGAAGTTCTATGCAAAACTAGCTACTACTGGCCAATATTAATTAGAGAATCTGTCGAAATTGAAAGAAATAAAAATAAATGTAACCGTTCGGATAGCTACCGCCTTAGTGCTGCGTGGAAGCGAATCATCAAATAATACATTGTTTAAATGCATGCCTCTGAAGGGCAGCGTACTTCAACAGGGATTACCGTTGGTACGGCTATTTTAATACACACAATGGACAGGAAGGACAAGATCAAAGGGCTCGAATAATGCGCATGCATAATGTACGCTGACTCAGACACCTCCCCCCCTTTACACACATGGCGCAATAGCGCAGAAGTTTGGTCAACACATCTACGCCTCCTCTATATAAGGAACGAATCGGGTGGACTTCTCCACAAATCTGGCTGTCGCCTGATGAAGCTAGTTGTAATTACTGGCGAAACGTCGTACTCAGTTTGTAAATGTTGTGGCTGGGCTCTCCAACACACCGGTGTGCTGTACTAGTATACTACACTATGCACTACACTATACACTACACTATACACTACACTATACACTACACTATATACTACACTATACTACTATACACTACACTATACACTACACTATACACTACACTATGCACTACACTATACACTACTACACTATACACTACACTATACACTACTATATACTACACTATACACTACACTATACACCACACTATACACTACATTATACACACTACACTATACACTACTATACACTATACACTACACTATACACTACTATGCACAACACTATACACTACTACACTTAACATCAAACACTATACACTACTACACACTACACTATACACTAGTGCTGTACAAGTGACGAATTGGCCACGTTCTGTTTACGTGACAACCCTTACTAGTTGGCTGTGTCGGGTGGTGGCGGGTTTTAACGACACAACATTTATATATTTACGCAGATCTAACCCAAACCGGGACTGTTGTGGTAGTCGTGGTTGTTGTTGCTGCGGTTGTGGCTGTGATAGTTGTGGTTGTTGTAGGTTTGGTGGTTGCTGTGGTGGTTGTTGTGGTCGGAGCGACGAATGGCGACGATTTGGGATGAGAGAGTTTGGGGAACACGGAGCTGAGTCACCCAGGATCACGGTCTCGCGGTGAGAGAGGTGGAGTGATGGAGGTGGAGTGAGGGAGGGAGGTGGGGTGGCAGGTTTAGTGAACTGTGGGAGTGGTTCGCGTGGGCCCTCGGCTGCCCGACCATGAGCGGCCCCGTGGCCCCCTGTGGCCGAGGAGAGCGACGGAGCGGCAGGCAAGGGGGATGGGACGCCTCACAGACGAAGCTACGATGGCATCCGTCCTGGATGAAGGAGGCCTTCATCCAGCGGTGTATTTGACCACGGCTGATGGCGGTGGCGATGATGATGTAGTAGTATTATTATTATAAGGGGTGGGTGCGTGGCACAGGTGACACACGTGACACACGTGAGACAGGTGACACACGTGACACGCGTGAGACAGATGACGCACGTGAGACAGGTGACACACGTGACACACGTGAGACAGGTGACGCACGTGAGACAGGTGACACACGTGACACGCGTGAGACAGGTGACGCACGTGAGACAGGTGACACACGTGACACGCGTGAGACAGGCGATACACGTGACACACGTGAGACAGGTGACGCACGTGACACACGTGAGACAGGTGACGCACGTGACACACGTGAGACAGGTGACGCACGTGACACACGTGAGACAGGTGACGCACGTGTCACACGTGAGACAGGTGACACACGTGACACTGGTGACACAGGTGCCACTACCCCACCTGCCGCGTGCACGTGACACGCAGGTGCGAACACAACGCAAGCTGCGTACACGCACAGACAAAGATCCCCCGTGTAGCCTTTGACAGACTCATTGGGAGCGGGGGGGGGGGGGGTGGACACGTTTCTGCCAGCGAGCCCTCGTGCAGGCCGGACGCATGCGAGAGACTTTCATCCAGCAGCGGATTGACAAAGGGCGGATAATTGCTGTTGCTACTGCTGTTGTTGTGTATACACACATACACACACAGCTGTCACGGTACGGACCCCACCTGTTCGCCCACCTGTCAGGCCCCTCCCCGGGCACACCTCCCGCCTCCCGACCGCCCCCCCCCCCCTGCCCACCTCTGTGTGTCCTCCACAGCAGTGGTTCTTCTTCTTAGCCTGGGGGTGCATCACGCATCACCTGGGGGTGCATCTCACGTCACCTGGGGGTGCATCTCACATCACCTGGGGGTGCATCTCACATCACCTGGGGGTGCATCTCACATCACCTGGGGGTGCATCTCACGTCACCTGGGGGTGCATCTCACGTCACCTGGGGGTGCATCACGCATCACCTGGGGGTGCATCTCACGTCACCTGGGGGTGCATCTCACGTCACCTGGGGGTGCATCTCGCGTCACCTCGGGGTGCATCTCGCATCACCTGGGGGTGCATCTCGCATCACCTGGGGGTGCATCTCACGTCACCTGGGGGTGCATCTCACGTCACCTGGGGGTGCATCACGCATCACCTGGGGGTGCATCTCACGTCACCTGGGGGTGCATCTCACGTCACCTGGGGGTGCATCTCGCATCACCTCGGGGTGCATCTCGCATCACCTGGGGGTGCATCTCAAATCACCTGGGGGTGCATCTCACGTCACCTGGGGGTGCATCTCGCATCATCTGGGGGTGCATCTCGCATCACCTGGGGGTGCATCTCGCATCACCTGGGGGTGCATCTCACGTCACCTGGGGGTGCATCTCACGTCACCTGGGGGTGCATCACGCATCACCTGGGGGTGCATCTCACGTCACCTGGGGGTGCATCTCACGTCACCTGGGGGT